AGGCCTGGCAATCTGCTTCAGAAAGGTCAAAGCCCTGAAAACCCTATGAAGCAGTTCTACTCTGCACACATATGGTCACTATGAGTTGGAATCGACTAACAACAACAACAATATATTTTCCTCTAAAAACCTAAAAGTAAAGGAGTTTTGATACAAGGAGAAGGATACATAAAGTCTCTGTTTACGCATCTTCAGATACCCTCACCAGTGACATCTTTATTTAATGACTTGGGCACCCACCTTGCTGGTTCCCACTCACTCACCTGGACAGATCTGACTGTGGATTTCATCTTCTGTTGTCCATAGTTCTTCTCCTCGTTCCAACATGGAGAGGGTAACTGGATTGTTAGCTTGATATCCTGTTCATGGCAAATGATAGAAGACTTACAGACGTACTGAATTGGGTTAGGGTATGTCAAGATGGGAAAAAGTCACATTTTCGGGACTAGATAGTTTTCGCATGCACAAAGGCTTTCCTCTCAGGAAAGAGCACCTTCTACCCTCTTATCTGGAGACAAAGAAGGATCTGCGAATCTCACTTCAGAGCACTAAGGTGTCTTCAAAGTGTAAGCAAAAGAGAAAGGAAAGGCCACTGACTGGGCACCCTCTGAATGACACAGGGGAGTTGCCCTCACCCATGGACACCAGGTTGCTATAGTTCTCCAACATCACATCCAGGTACAGGTCCTTCTGAGCAGGGTCCAGGAGCTGCCACTCCTCCCAGGTGAACTTTATGGCTACATCATCAAATGTCAGCAATTCCTGTAATAACACAGTCATATTTAAGTATTTCACTTTTATTGATAAAGAAGTGCAGCGCGATGAATCACTTTTATACGGCCTTTCTCACCATGGTTTTGTGACTCCTCCAAAAGACTGGGTGGGGCTATGCAAACAAGGTGCTTCTGGCCCACTAAGGGGATTGGACAGCTTGCTGCTAATGTAAATAAGGTGCACAGTACCCGTGTGGGGGGTGGTACCATGCAAATAAGGTGTATGAAACCCTAACAAGGGGATTGGTCAGTTTTGCCATCCTGCTAGGATTAAAAAGGCAGCTAACCCCAGAGCAAAAGGGGGACCTCACTACCACCAAGAAAGAAGAGCCAGTAGTGGAGCTTGTCCTTTGGACCTGGGGGCCCTGAACTTAGAACCACTTAGACTCAGGAGACAGAGATTTGTAACATCTGAGATGGTGTGAGATGGCGAGATCTGTAGTCGAGAAATGGCAGCAGCAGAAGCAGGAGACCAATGTGAGACGGCATGGGGCTTCCCAGCCCACAGAGCAAGGCATCTACAGTGGGTGAACCAACTAAAGGGACAAGACAGCTGAGCACCTCTGGGCAGGCGGCTTCCTGGCAGAGTAGGGTGCCTCCAATCACTTGTCAGTGGAGCTAGACTTGCCAACCCACAAGCTAGAAAACTGACCACCTTCAGGCCAAGGCTTAATGGTAGAGTGGGGAGCCTCTGGGCACTTATCAGTGGAGCTAAAGACCTTTGTAACACTTTCTCTAGCTGGGCAGAGGCCAGGCTGCACCATGAGGCTGAGGGGCTGAGAGGCCAAGGGGCTGAGAGGTGGACAGCCAGGGAGAGGTCTGCTTGCAGTCACAGCTGAGAACCTGTCCTGGCTGAAGAACTGTATCTTCAGTTGCTCCTGGTCCTAAATTGTAACCTGTTACTTCCCTAATAAACCCCATAATCGTGAGTATTGTCTGTGAGTTCTGTGTGGCCATTACAACAAACTGTCAAACCCAGGAGAGAAGCAGAAAGAGCCACAGGAGGGACAGCTGGTGTCAGAATCGGATAGAGGAGAGAGGAGGTATGTCTGATCTCCACCTCATAGGAATCAGCCTTGTGTTGATGATTCTCCCCCACTGTGAAGTTAGACGTCATATGCCCCCGCACCACCATTTTTCACAGTTGTGTCAGAAGTGGGATTCATTGCAATGGCTCTAGACTCATGAAAGCACAGGACTTTGTAAGAGAAAGGAGAAAGCGTGTGGGAAGTGAAATTTTTGATTCTTTGATGGTTATTTTGTTTGCTGTTATCTGTACTGGTTGAAAGGAAAGTAAGACATGTTATGCTGCAGCAAAGGAGAGATCAATGGAACCCAAGCATCTGGAGTGGCTTGTGGCAAAAGCCAGCTGGTTAAGCAAGATGAATGATAGGGGCCAGAGTCTTCTGGTTCCACCCAGGCAGAGACCTAAGTCCATATGCATATGAATGGGAAGACAGTCAAGGGTGAAGAAGAGAAGATGTAACTGGAATGTTTTAAAAAGATTTATGTGTTTATTTGAATATACCATGGATACTGAACATCTCTCCTACCTACTGTTGTAAAACAAACCTAAATGTATGATGAAAATGAATACGGGTGAGAACGTGTAATTCCACCTTCAGCCAAGACTTGATTAAAAACCAAATCCACTGCCGTTGACTTGATTCTGACTCATAGCGATCCTACAGGAAAGAGCAGAACTGCCCCACAGGGTTTCCAAGGAGCGCCTGGTGGATTCGAACTGCCAACCTTTTGGTTAGCAGCTGTAGCTCTTAACCACTGTGCCACCAAGGTATGCTAGAAAGGGAATTAGGATGTTTGTTTCTATCCAGCAGCCCTGCGTATAGAGTATTGGGGGCTTAGGCAAAAAACTTGAGCTCCATCCAGGGAATTTGCATCTGAAAAGACATGCAGACCCACCCACATCTGCCAGGAGAGCAGGAGATTTGCATTTGAAGGAAGGACCTTCAGAGAAAACACTGACTTTTGCTCTTTGAACTGTGAGCAAGCTTTTGCTGTTGGTTGGGTGCATTAAGGCAGGAAAAGCCAGAGCCCATCAGAAGAACCCTCTTTCAGGACTGGCAGTTAAAGGGAGCCAGCAAGTAGACAGCTCAGCGTGCTCGCTTGTGGTGACCACCTGGGTCCACTTGATGAGTGAAAGTGGGGAAGGTGCTCCAATGAAGAGATGAGCTGAGTTTGGATATGTTCCATTGGCACACACTGACCTAGCCCATAGCTGATAGGGATGAGAGAGCAAGGGACTGCTGGTCAGAAGTTCAGGGAGTTGTGTGGACTCTTGAGCCTACAGGTGGTGCTCACTGACATAGCCTATGCGGGCTTGGGATAAGAGAGAAACGGCTGGTTGGTCTGAAGCAGAAGAAGGTGTGTGGACCCCCGAGCCTACTGCTGGTAACCACTGACCTAGATTGAATGACTAGGGATGACCTGACACCGACTGAATGGGGATGAAGATGAGCTGTCCAGAACCCAACTGAATGAAGAGAGAAAGAAACGTTTGACACTATGAGCTGGTGTAGATTGCTGTAATCTGATGGCTTGCTGTGGACTGGACTTTGCTTATGGATGCAGATGCTCAAAGTCTAAACAGAAGATTCTTCTGATGAAGCAACATCCTTTTCTCCTCAGACTACTGGTTCAATAGGCATGGGCAATTTAAAAATTGGCTTTCTAAAATTGGGGGAGATAAAGGCATGAAGTGGCTGGCTTAACGAAGGAGACCAGGGAGGATCCTCACTGAATAGATTCCTCTTTTCCTGACAGGTCTGGGGAAGAGAGGGTGGGGGAAAATGCTGATAGGAGTATATGATTCAGTTGTGAGTGTTGATCATTAGCAGAGTTAATTGTGTCTTTAAAAGCTGTGTTGTAGAAGCCATAACTGTCAAAGAGTGGACTAATGGGGAAGCACTGCTAGACTGCAGTACAGTGACCGAACCTAAAATCCCCTGAAGGCTTTGCTACGCTGATACCTCATAAGGTTCAGAGTAAGGGAGTAACCTTTCCGACCTTTTAACAGAGGTCAGAAAGGGGGAAGATGAGATGACTTTTGGAGAACCTGACCAGATCAGATGGATACCTGCAGCAGATCTGAATGGCTGGTGCATGAGTAAACTCAACCTGAGGATTTTCTGCCCTACTATAGGACTAATTGTTAATGACTATTTTGATTTGTAAAATGATTGGGAGGGGGAAGTTATCCTCCAAGTATGAAAGAACCATGGCTAGAAAAGGCAGGGAGTGGTCTGCAATGTAATGAATTGCTTTTATATGGCCTTTCTCACCATGGTCTTGTGACTCCTATAAAACGACTGGGTAGGACTATGCAAATAAGGTGCTTGTGGCCCAACAAGGGGATTGGACAACTTGCTATTAATGCAAATAAGGTGCATGGCACCCTTAGGACCATGCCAATAAGGTAATATGGAACCCTAATGAGGGGATTGATCAGTTTTGCCATCCTTCTAGGCTTGAAAAGAAGGCCAATCTCAGAGCAGAGGGGAGACCTCACTACCACCAAGAAAGAAGAACCAGGAATGGAGCACATCCTCTGGATCTTGGGGCCCTACATTAAGAACCTCCTAGACCCAAGAGTCAGAGAGAGAGAGCTGTAACACCAAAGACAGCGTGAGACAGCAAGAAGCTCAGCAGACAAATGGCAGCAGAACCAGGAAATCGCTGCAAGAGAGTGTGGTGGCTTCTCAACTCATGGAGTGAGGTGGCTACTGTGGATGTGCTGATCCATGAAACTAGAGAGCTGAGCACCTTTGGGCAGAAGGCTTCATGGCAGAGTGGGCTCCCTCTGGGCACCTGTCAGCAGAGCTAGGCTTGCCAATCCACAGAGCTAGAGAGCTGAGTATCTTTAGGCCGATGCTTAGTGGCAGAGTCCAGTGCCTCTGGACACATATATGTGGAGCTAAAAAGCTTTGTAACACTTGCCTGAGCAGTGCAGAATGAGCCAAGACAAGAGGTGAAGGGGCCAAAGAATAGAGGGGCCATGAGGCTGAGAGGCTAAGGGCCAGCAGAAGCCTGCCTGCGTGCATGGCTGAGAAGCTATCCTGACCAAAGAACTGTATCCTGAGTTGTGCCTGATTCTGAATTGTAATTTGTTACCTCCCTAATAAACCCCAATACCCCTAATAATGGGTATTGTCTGTGAGTTCTGAATGGCCATTACAACAAACTGTCGAACCCAGCAAAGAAGTAGAGGGAGCCATGGAAGGGATGGCTGGTGTCAGATTTGGAAAAGGGAGGAGAGAAAAGATATGTTTGACCTCCACCTCATACATACGAATCAGCCTTGGGCTGATGGTGATGATTCTGCCCCCCTGTGAAGTTAGACAAGGTCAGACACCACCATGCCACTATTTTTCACAACAAGGAATATAAAGGATGTTGTCCTGCTCATGTTAACCATAGACTGCATCAGTAAACCTTTTGAATTTTTTAATACACTATCATAGGATCAGTTTCCAAGTAATTATTATCCTGTAATTGTGTAGTGATCCATTCACTCGAAAAAATGTTAAGCTTTTATAAAATGTAGCCACTAAATCCTCTTAGTAACATAAAAACATCAGATTTGTGTATATATTTTAAATATAGCATTTACTGATCAGTCAGTAATCTATATGAAAACCTTATGAAGCAGTTCTACTCTGTAACACATGGGGTCATTATTAGTTGGAATCAACTGGACAGCAACTAACAACAAAATATATGCTAGTGATAACTAGATCCATGATATAGATTGCTACATTCACTGTAAGTTTTCCCAGCCAATAAAATATGCTACAATCTCAGGACACTACGTAAATGTTTAATTACTGAGTAGAATAAAAGAAACTATAGAAATACATACAAAGCATAACAAACTATTAATGAAGATCAGACAAATTTGGAAAAAAATATTCTAAAATATAGAGTACATGCGTGATACATGTATGAACATAGGCACATATATGTATGTGTTTATATACATAGACATACATGTATATATTAATAGAAAGGTTAACTTTATACTAAATAGGTGGAAGAGATCATTAAAAACCTCAAACCAAACCCGCTGCCTTCAAGTAGATTCCGACTCATAGCAACCTTATAGGACAGAGTAGAACTTCCCCATAGGGTTTCCAAACTGGAATATGCTTTTTAAGAGGTAACTCAAAATAAAACACAAAGACACAAAGAGACAGAATATATAAAGAACAGTTAAATAAATATGGAGGATAATGTGAGAAAGTCTAACATATACCTATTCATAGTTTTGAAAGAGATTCTGGAGTAACAGAGAAGCAAATTATTAAGATCTAAGGACTGATACATTTTTCAGAACTGATTATAAACACCCTATAACTCAGACTTAGAAAACTAGCAAACTCCAAGCAGGAAATTTGCATTGACTCCTCAGACTGTAGCTACAGAACACCAGATACAAAAGGAGGATTATGAAAGCAGTCAGAGAGAAAACACACATTAATGCCAAAAGAAAGATAAAATTACTGACAGCTGACTTTTCCACCCAATCAATGGAAGCCAGAAAAAAGTGCAATAATAACTTCAAAGTCCTTATTGCAATGCAGCCTAGCCCTAAGCACCACCTGAAAGTGAATATGGACCCGCCTGTCAAGTGAACTGCCACCTTCCAGTCTCAATATGCCTTGCAATCAAGGCAGGTTAAGATCTAGGGAAAAACTTACGGGATAATCTATTCCCATGTTATTGCAGAGACTACATAGGGGAGAGAGCAGACTTGGTAAAGACTGCAAATTCTTAAGCCTGATAAATCTTGCCACATTCTGAATTGCTTCATTTGAGCCATAAATCCATTTGGAAAAAAGTTAACATAAATTCCTACCTAATTCACACTCAAAAGTAACTTCTTCCCGTTACTAAATAAGCAAAAGAAATGCTCAATATATAACAGAAATAAACAACTTCTATTAGTCAGTAAGAAAAGAGTTTTTTAAATGCAAAAATAATGACAGGCACTTCATAAAAGAAAAAAACCAACTGACCAACAATGACACAAGAAAGATTTAAATCTCACCTGTGATTAAAAAAAATGCAAACTAAAGTAAGATAAAGAGATATTGGACCATTCAAATTGCTGAAAATTATACAATTTGATAATTTCATATTATTAAGTGTTAGAAAAGATTTAAGGCATGGATGTTCTTATATATCACTATGTGTAGACGCTAGACCAAAGGCTCTACATAGATTAACTCATTTTTTGAGTATGACTATAAATAAAAGGAATTTTATGTAATTAACATTCCTCAATCAGTTTCAGTCATTATTTTTTTAGATGCTCATACTATACCATTTTAGGCCACCGGGTTGGCTGCTATGTTCTTTGGAATATGATTCCATTCATGCAAAAAAATCTCATATCTCAGCATGGCTGAGAAGAGGCTGTCGTGATGGAAGAACTGTATCTTGTTACTTCCCTAATAAACCCCATGGTGGTGAGTATTGTCTATGAATTCTGTGTGGCCACTGTAATGAATTATCAAACCCAGCAGAGAAGTAGAGAGTGCTGTGGGAGGGACGGTTGGTGTCAGAATTGGTAAAGATGGTGGAGAGAGGAGTCATGTCTGACCTCCGCCTCAAGGGAATCAGCCTTGGGCTGTTAATCCTGATTCTCTTTCCCCGTTGTGAAATTAGAGGAGGTCAGACTCTGCGCCCACAGCATTTTTACATGAAGTTATAAAGCAAACACTATGGATCCTAACAATTCAAGCCTTTACCTGATATCATTTCCTTCACTCTCTTGCCAAATCTGTACTAAAACACTAGTTCAGCTATCTGTTCATGAAGGACCATTTGAAAGCCATACAATCCTTTTATTTTCCTCAGCCATTTAGGTTTTATTCCTAAATTAACTCAGACAGTCACAAGGCTGGGCCCTTGCATTGGTGTCCTGAAAAACTGTGTCCCTTGAATTTGCTTTGTCTATTTCCATGGGGTCTATGAGGTATCCTGTAATAAACGACCATGGGAAATCTGCTTTGGCCTTTATTAGGCTATTGATCAAAACACCATTCACCTCATTACCTCTAGGAAGAACTATCGAAATGTTCCTGAGATGCAGGTGCCATGAAATACTGACATCCTCTGAGGAGTCTGTCTGCTTTCTCCTCACAGCCATTGTATATTATATAACTTATCATGATTCTCTTGTTGTGGTGGCCGTCAGAGATATCAGATGCAAGATGATTTTCATGTAACCCATGGGATCCTCCAGTCACACATTATGTTCCAACTTTAGTCACTTAGTAGGAATCATATGAACAATATATTCGGGATCCTACTTTGCCCTGATGTTGAAGTTAAGGGTCAAAGTTTATTTCACTCCAGATCCTGAATTAATTTTTCACACATCTCCACCCAGGTGGTGCAATGGTTAAGTGCTCATCTGCTAACTGAAAGGCTGGCAGTTCAAACCCACCAGAGGCTCCATGGGAGAAAAGACTTGCTGGGCTGCACCTGTTAAGATTACAGCCTAGGAAACGCAATAGGGCAGTTCTGTTTGGTTTAATAGGGTCGCTATGAGTTGGAATCGACTTGATGGCACACAACAACAACAATTCATTAGGCAGTAAAGGAAAGAATAAAACAAATCAAAAGTCACCTGGGCATCGATCATTTTCTTCTGTTTTGAGCAAAGGCCAACAACTGGGATATCTGTCTTTGTCTCTTCTGGATCTACCCCAAATTACTGGTTAGAAATTTCCCCAGAAATGATGACATCTAGCTTCTGGACTACATATATATCACTTAGGTCTCTGAAAAAAAGATTTGAACAGCACAACATGTAAACTAGACATTATTGACATATATAAAACACTAGATCCAGTAGAAAATATATTCTTTGCTAGCACATGTAACATTTTCAGTTATTGACAATATGCTGTACCAGAAAAAAAATTCAACAGATTTCAAAAGATTGAAATTATATAGAGTATATTCTCTGACCACAGTACAATTAATTCAGAAAACAATAGCAAAAATAACTACAAGATCCTTAAGTGTTTAAACTAAGCATTATATATCAAGAAGGCAATAAGGAAGCACAGAAAATAATGAAATACGAAACAAAGAAATGAGCAATAGAGAGAGGACCAAAAAAGTCAAAAGTTGATTTTTCTGGGGGTGGGCGGGGAACCAATCTAATAAAATTGGAAATTAGTGGTAAGCTTGAATAAGAAAAATTTTAAAAAGAAGTCAAAATGAACTAATGGAGAAAAAAATGATAATGGTGCAAATGTTACGACCTTTAAAAAGATGATATAAGGATATTATGAACAACTTTGTACCAATAAATCTGGAAGTTTACATGAAAGTTACAAAATTCTGGAAAAACCTAACCTTTCAAAACCTTCCAAAATGCAAACAAAGGCTCAACTGGCCACATCAGTATATTCTACCAAATATTTAAGAGAATACACCACCAAATCTTACTCAAACTTTTCAAGACTAAAAAATGAGGAAACAACTCAATTTGTTTTATGAAGTCAGCATAACCTCATATCAAAACTTAGTCAATGACATTGCATTAAAAGTAACCAAACCCATTGTTGTCAAGCAGATTCCGGCTCACAGTGACCCTACAGGACAGAGTAGAACTGCTCCACAGGGTTTTCAAGGCTGTAATCTTTAGGAAGCAGACTGTCACATCTTTCTCTCACAGAGCAGCTGTTGGGTTCAAACCACCGACCTTTTGGTTAGCAGCCGAGCTCTTAACCACTGACTCACTAGGGCTCCTGCGAAAAGAAAACCACTAGCCAATGTCATTAAAAAACAGATTTAATATGCTAGAGAAATAAGAGCCGTCACACGAATAGATATCTGCACATCCATGTTCATTGCAGCACTGTTCACAATAGCAAAAGGATGGAAACAACCTAGATGCCCATCAATGGACGAATGGATAAACAAATTATGGTATATCCACACAAAGGAATACTATGCAACGATAAAGAACAACGATGAAGCCTTGAAACATAACATGGAGGAAGCTGGAGGGCATTATGCTGAACGAAGTTAGTCAGTCACAGAAGGACAAATATTGTATAAGACCACTATTATAAGAACTCAAGAAAAGGTTTAAACACAGAAGAAAACATTCTTTGACGGTTACGAGGGTGGGGAGGGAGGGTGAGGGTTATTTACTAACTAGATAGTAGATAAGAATTATCTTAGGTGAAGGAAGGACAGCACATACTACAGGGGAAGTCAGCACAACTGGACTAAACCAAAGCTAAGAAATTTCCTGAATAGAATCAAACACTTTGAGGGACAGAGTAGCAGGGGTAGGGGTATGAAGACCATGCTTTCAGGGGACATCTAGGTCAACTGGCATAACAAAGCTTATTAAGAAAATGTTCTGCATCCCACTTTGGTGAGAGGCGTCTGGGGTCTTAAAAGCTTGCAAGCGGCGATCTAAGATGCATTGATTGGTCCCAACCACCTGGAGTAAAGGAGAATGAAGAACACTAAAGACACAAGGAAAGTATTAGCCCAAGAGACAGAAAGGGCCACATAAACCAGAG